TATCAGGCCTTCTGGCGTTGTGCTTTCAATGGTAGGAGACGTTCTCGTCGACCACTAAGGTGTCTATGGCGAATTGTCAATCTAAAAATGATGTGTCGACTCAGTCTTTTGCATGTGCTGATAAAAGTAGGGTGTGCATGCGTACGTTCATAGTGATAAGCGTATATCCGTATGTACGAGCGTTTGCATCTCTACCGTCTTTTTTCCCTCCCGTGACCCACCCAAACAACAACACTAAAATTAAATATATATTTTCCGCTTTCAAAAACTTCAATGATCCAACAAGGCATGCTACTTCGATTCATATGTTTTTTTTTTGGTGTGCAATTATCATGAAGACGGCGGCGACAATCTCTGCAGCGTGTACGCGTGATTCCACAGAAACCAAGCGTGTACGCGTGGTTCGTTTGATTGAGTCTTCCGCTACGAGGAAGACTTCACGCTTGGAAGACTCGAGTCAGCCTCAGAAAACAGAGAGAGAGAGAAGCGTGAACGGCTTCACAGGTTTGTTACGAGGACTCCAAGTCTCCCCTTGATCGAAGCAGAACGCGTGGAAAAGGACTCGAGACTCCTCTCGCTCTCGCTCTATATCTCTACTCCTAATGTCTCAGTTGGTAGGTCGCGTTTCGGGTTTTATTTTCGTCTCACCTCATCCGGTATTTTTTGGTACTTCTTTGGTACTTCCTCCCACCTTCCCCTCAGCCGTGAAAAATCAAGAAAAACCCCGCGATCGAGTCCCGCACACGCCCAAACTCCCGTCGTTATCTCTACTCCTAATGGAGCAGTTGGTAGCCTTGTACGGTTTATTTTCGTCCCACCACTTTCAACCGTTTTATTTCGCTGGTTTTTTTTCGTCCCTCCCCCACCCCACCGGTTTAGTTTCGCGTCACCCTCTCACACAACGAAAAAACTTAACGGATCATAACTTTCCATGCTGGTGCAAGTTATTTTTAGTAATGTCTTTATGTGAAAGAATCAATCACGATCAATCTCTAAATATCAAATCTAAATTAATTAACCTTACCTTAAATTGCTCAATCACATTAATTAGGAAACAAAATAACCGATTTTAAGAAAATATCTACTCTTAGTGGAGGGTATTACATACCAAACATAGGTACGTCATTAGCTCGCTTCCTTCCCTTCGTCCCTCAGTCCCATGCTCGTGGCGCTGAAGTGGCATCGACAGGCGATGGCGGCGAGGACAGCACGTGGCAGCCCCTGAAGCACGAACACGACTGCACCTCGGGTCTGCCGTCTCCCAAGATATGGGTGAGTTCTCGTGATGCCCACCCTAAACCCTCACGTCCTACAAATTCCTCAACCTCTACCATCTCGATTTCGTCCATGCTCTGATCCAAATGACGATGCAGCTCCGGCCGATTGACAATGGAGGTTTGCCATCCTTCCTCTCAGCACCCACTCCTGGAGGAACGACACGCCATGCCGATCGAATCCGGTCGAGATCACTCACCAAGATTGCTATTCGGAAGAAGAGTGGGACGGGATTTGCACTTTTGTTAATATAACATATACTTGTGCAGGTGCAGGTTTTGTTTTAAAAATCCAATTTGTTTATCCTTTTGTCGCTGAAATTGTTTACTAATTATGTCATTGGTTTTATTTCTTCTAGATGTTGTATATTCTTGGATTGAAGGGACTGTCTGACAAGGTGAAAGAGCTAATCTCTACTCCTAATGATCATGGGCTAATCTCTACAATTTATTTTTGTCCGGTTTTTTTCGTCCCACCTCCACCCCCTAGCCAGCCCCACCCCTCGATCTTCTCCAAGTTTCCGGTTTTCTTTTTTCATGCAGGAAATCAGGACACAATCTATCTTTCCTTTAATGCACATCTCCCCGTAAAAAAATCAGGACACTATCCCCTTCTTCCTATTAACACTAACACACATTTCTTCTGAAAATCCGGGATGTAATCCTCTCCTTCCCACTAATCTCTCTTATATGGCTTTCCCATAATTATGTCGGTCCTGCTCAGTTTGATATAATTCAATTTGGACGAAGGACGCCAGAGATTAACTTTCGCTGGCAGAGAAAGAGACTAGGGATTGATTGGTTTTAAACATTGGATTCGGTATTAGCTTAACATATGTAGGAACAAGACGACCATAGGAAAGGATGGCTTGCTCGACCTGCATGTTTCCTGTATATTCATTCTCTCTCCAATTCTAATACAGTCCAATTGATCATTGTATATTTATCTAATCATGCTTCCTATATCGTTTTGTATGGCTACGTGATGGGGTCGCATCCACATGGGGGGAATATCGCAGATTGGATCGGAAGCAGGCCGCACAGATGAACCACCCCACCTCGTTGTCTGCCTGCACGATCTCCATTAATATCCAGCGCCGCCTCTCGAGTGGACGACCTGCATGTCGCCAACAACACCACTTACCTCTGCGCTCCGACCAAAGATCATTGTCCAGGTGAGGGTACCTCGCCGCAAGCCCGCAACAGTTGCCGTCACTGTTGATTATTCGTACTCAGATTAAGTTTCAGGCTCAGTCGTCTCTGTCGTCACTTGTCAGCGCACAGACGATGGGTTGGTGCCATACTATCATGTGGCATCTCCATCGTTCTGGGCCGGGAAGATAACAGATTTTCAGAAAACAAATAATACATTTTAACCTAACTTTCTTAAATTATGCAAATCAATCGATTCCTTTTATTGGTTCAATTTGTCTTAGGAAACAAATAACAGATTTTTAGGAAACAAATAATACATTTTAATCTAACTTTCCTAACTTATGCAAATCAATCGATTCCTTTTATTGGTTCAATTTGTCTTAGAAACAAATAACAGATTTTCAGTAAACAAATAATACATTTTAATCTAACTTCCTTAAATTATGCAAATCAATCGATTTCTTTTATTGGTTCAATTTGTCTTAGGAAACAAATAACAGATTTTCAGAAAAAACAAATAATACATTTTAATCTAACTTTCCTAACTTATCTAAATCAATCGATTCTTTTTATTGGTTCAATTTGTCTTAGGAAACAAATAACAGATTTTCAGAAAACAAATAATACATTTTAATCTAACTTCCTTAAATTATGCAAATCAATTGATTCCTTTTATTGGTTCAATTTTTCTTAGGAAACAAATAACAGATTTTTAGGAAACAAATAATACATTTTAATCTAACTTTCCTAACTTATTAGTGAAATTTGTTTTAGGAAACAAATAACAGACACATCACAACTTTCCTTCCAATAAATAGTTTCTTAACATTTGCAAACTTTCCTAATCAGACACGTCACAAACGGGCATGTAGTGATATCACGTTATCCAACAATAAAACCCCATTTGCATAGAAATCAGTTCAAAAATCCTAACTTTCCTAAATTTTTACCTTTCCTTGATAACAACAAACATTTTTTATGTTTTCCATCGATATTAGCATTTTTTGAACTGAGATCTCCGGGTTATGATTTTTTTGTGATTCTTTCCAATTGTGACCTCTTCTTCCACTCCGGCTCCTTGTCGGATAAACACCTCCACCACAGCCAGGTGACACCGCCCAGACCTCCTGCCTCTCCACAACTTCTCCGCCACCTCCTTCTCGTACTCCATTAACAATCCCTCCGCCACATTTGTCCACGGCGGTGTCGAGGGCATGGTGCAGTAGCGTACCAGCGGTAGAGCAGCGCATAGCAGCAGGAAGCAACACGCAGTAGGCGAGGCTGAGGGGGCGGCCAGCACAAGATGGCCATGACTAGAGGCGGCGCGAGGCAGGGGGGCAGCAGACGGGGCGAGCGCAGCCAGCGAGAGTGTGGTGCGCGACCAGGGTGTGTGTCGCGCGGGGCACAGTGGTGCGGTGGCTGCGGCGAGCGCGACGACAGCGACGGGCGCGACCGATGCGGTGTAGCACGGGCGTGGGCATGGAGAGGGAGTGGCCCCGCGGGCGCGGAAGAAGAGCGGCATGCTCGGGCATGGGCGTGCATAGGAGCGGGCATGTGCCACGGGGTCAATCCGAGGAGCTCGGTGGCTACCCCTGCAATGGCCATGGCGGACGGCGGTTCTCGACCACGGCGAAATACCTAACGAGAGCAAACGAGAGGGGAGACAAGGGAAAGGCAAGAGGAGATTGTGGTGGTGTCAATGGCGCCCTAGGCGAAGACATGGGAGCTCGGGGCGGCGCGGATCGAACGGCAATGTCGCGGTGGCCCAAGGTTGAGGAAGACGGCAGCGACATCGATGCGGGGGTGCTGGACTTGATCTCGTTGGTGCAGACGAAGTAGCGAAGGCATTCGGAGCTCCTCGACAAGCTCCTAGCCCGCAGGGAGGGCAGTGGCCATATGGACGGGGTCGGTCATGGTGGCCGTGGCGTCTGACTTCCTCCAGATCGACGGGATCGAGCGAGCGAGGAGGAGAAGTGGATTTGGGAGGGGGCGTCAAGGAGGAGTGAGGCCATGGGGTAGGGAAGGCAGGGCGTCACCCTTATCCATTCTCCTTCGATGCCAGCGAGGTGGTCGGGCGGGAGCCCGTCTCTGTAGCGACGCGGCTCGGGGAACAGGAGAAGACGACCGCGCGGGGACTGGACCTCTGAGCCGGTTCGGTGGCAAGGCCCGGGGGGCAGGGCGAATCCCCTTTTACATCGTCCTTTTGGTTTTTCAATGTATTCTAATCTGTTTCTCCTTTTTAGCACCGTTTTCTATTTATTCTTATCAACTAAATGATCTCTACTCCTAATGTCTCAGTTGGTAGTCTCCATTTTGGGTTTATTTTCGTCCCACCTCCCGAGTGAGGGAGAGGGGGAGAGAGAGTGAGAAAGAGAGAGGGAGAGGGTGTGTGTGTGTGTCAGAATTTGATGGTAAAAAAGGTCATCGATGTCACTTAATATGTATGAGAATATTCAATGTAATATTAACATAATTGATAGTGAACTTTTAAAGTTAATGTGGCCCCGTTGCAACGCACGGGCGTTCTTCTAGTAGTAGTAGGAGTAGTACGTAGCAACCTGATCACATTTAATGGCGGAGATTGTTGCTTCCGCGGTCGTCGGCGAGACGCTTACAAGGATCTTCAGCTTCATCATCGACAAGCCTGGCAAGAGGCCATGCCAACGAGACGAGACGGAGAGGCTGGAGCTGGCGCACATCAAGATGGAAGCCCCGCTGCAGCTGTCCGACAGGTGGCAGATCACGGCCGTGCCCGTGCTCCGCTGGCGGAGCAAGCTGAAGCGTGCCGCCCAGGAGTGCGGCGACACGCTGCGCCACTGCAGGCAGCGCCAGCGCGCCCTGGAAGACGAAGAGGTCAGGCTCAGGCAGGCGTCCTCGCTCCCCACACGGATCTCTCACGCGGCCAAGAAGCTCGTGTCATCTCTCGTCAGCCTCGGCAAGGACGTCGTCGAGCCGATCCCGGTCCGGAGGTTCGAGAGGTTCGCGGAGGGCGCCGGCGAGTTCGTCGGGTTCGTGGAGCTGGGCGCGACCCCGCGGCAGCACCTCTTCTTCGACCCGCTCATCGGCCACCTCCTCGCGGGCGAGACGGCGCGGTACCAGGCGCTGCAGGGCGGCAGGTTCTACTACCTCGGCATCCGGCCCACTAGCTTCGCGGAGCGCGGGGTGGAGGCCATGGCCGGGTTCGTCCTCCAGGACTTCAGGGCGCCCGCCAAGAGCTTCAGCTCCAGGTTCATGCTGCGCCTCTCCGAGAGCAGCGACGTGCTCGGGATCATAGCGAGGTGCATACAGGCGATGACGCCGCACCTCAAGGTGGCCGCGGAAGGCCTCATGAGGGAGCTCGTCCAGCTTCCAACCCAGGATTTCTCATGGGTGGACACCTCACCCTTTAGAGAGACAGAGTATTGGGTCGATATACACAGGACCTTGACCCAATGCCTTCGTCCAGACCCGCTCTGTTGCAGCGGCCATGATGATCCCATCGCCCCTTCTACTTGTAGCAGCAGCAAGAGCCACAAACAATCATCGTTGTCACCATCAAAGTAGAGGTTGGCGTGCACACTGTTTCCAGAGCAGGTGATTACGGTCTATCTGCAGTGCCATATCTCGCCACCTGCTCAGGCTCCGCATAAAACATATGGGGGTCTGAAAAATCCAGGTCTGAAGCTGTCGGTCCTTTTCATTCCCCATGACTTCCCAGAGGGCGTAGAGCCTCAGGACGACAGCTTTGCTTTCGAGGTGATCGACGGGAAGGAGCAAGAAACAGTCCATCGAAATGCGACCTTGCAAGACGTAGACGAGAAGCTGCTCCCCAAGGCCATGGATCACCTCTTACAGAATTCTGAATTAAAGATGTATCAGCTGTGCCTGAGGTCCAGGCATGGCACCGCGCAGCTCTGCGCGGAGAAGACGACGCCTGCAATGCGTGTGCCAAGCAAAGGAACCGCCGCATCACGGTTGCAGATCAATGGAAGCAAAAGGGTGGTGGATCGGAAACGAGAGGATTACAGAATAAAGGGATGGCAGGATGCGTCGAGGGACCTGCTCAAGCTATGGGTCGTGCGTGCGTCTGACAAGCTGCATGGCTCACTCAGCTCTCCTGGACTGTCAAGTCCCCACTGCAGAGCTAATCCCTCCCCTTGCCTTCTGAAATCTATTTATCTAGTAGGCACACTACGGAGAGTCTAGTCTAGGAGGAAGAAAGCAATTGTCAGATTTTCAGCTTTGATTTAACACTGCTACGGATCAACCGGGGAAATCAGTCGGGTCGACCGATCGAGAGCCGTCCGATCCAGTGGCGGAGCTAGACATAATTAGATGGGGGGGGGGAGAGGTAAAATCTGAGTGCTTGGGGGGGCCAAAAGCAAAAAAAGTTCTCATCTAAATCCTCATAATAATTTTTTCTTGGGGGGGCCATAGCCCCCCCATCCATCCTGTCTAAGCTGTTAGATGAGTCAACGCTTCATCGTCCACCTTGCTCCACCCGAGCACACGCAGCGGCGCGCGCGGTCCATCACTTCCTTCCTCCCCCGAACACACGCCGCGCTTCGTTGTTACGTCCCCCGATAGTAGCAACACAGGTGAGGGCTATATCCCCGCACATGCGCCGCGACAGATGCTTCGCCGGTGACGGCGGTGAGTGCTGCAATGCAGCGCTGACAACGACGGGGGATACTGTGATGGAGCGACGACGGCGACAGGTGCTCCACGCAACACGCGGCGGCCATGGCCGAAGCTGTGATGCAGTGCGGGGATGTGCGGCTATGCAGCCGCGGCGGCACTTCATTGTATCCCTCCCCTGGCATGGGATGAATCAAGGCGGGGCCGACGGTCGTCCCCTCCTCCACTACTACATGACGAACGAGAAAGGGGAACAGAAGAACGGTCGAAGGATTCGCTCCGTGAAGAAATAGGGTGTGTACAATGGTGCTAGTGTTATATAGATCTCTAAAGGTTGCCTAACATTACCATACCAACTGTTGCCTCTGAATATTTCGCTTACTGGAAAGTGAGTATAGCAGTAAACTGCAACGTGTCTCTCTGATCCATTCGTTTATCTGAATTCTCAATGCACGAGATATCAGACCTGTGAAGGACATGTAAACAAGGAAGCCAGAAAGTGAATCCCAGCACGGAAGTGTTTGGACATCATGTTCTTTTACATCTGACCGTTAATTACTCCAAGTAATTGCCAAAGAGATGCTAGTAGAATACTGATACATAAAGAAATTAGGAAAAAGAAACACAAGAGCTGCACCATTTGGATGCATCTCTTGCGAGTGCAGCCACAAGAAACAGCCATGCGCAACAATGCATACAAACCGGGACGGCGGGTAGTTTTTCACCCACTCACCAAATCGCACCGCCTCTTCCCAAGCGCAGGAACAACATGAAGACTTGCAAATTGTGTAGGACCAAACCACGGGGACGAGTAAAGTTTGACCGAGCCAAGAGTGCCATTTCCTGCTCCTGATGTTCAGGGTCAATGATGCTCGCTCAAGTTTGAGCGGCGGTAGTAAAAAAACATCGAAGCGCTCACAACATGCTGTTCCTAGCGAATGCTTATTAAACATAGAGATACAGTTGGAGCCGGAGATGCATCTTCAAGATGCCCTGATTGCAAATCTTTTTCATAAGATCATTGATGTGTACTTCCCCATGCATCCTACTCTCCTATGTGTGCTAAGATCATGAAAAAATTTCACCCTGATATTGACTTTGAACATTTGGTCACCCTTTTTTCAGATTGATAGGTCACAAAGTTTAAAAACCAACCAAGATCTTGGAAATTCTCTATTAAGTATTTGGGTTATTCTGTTGGTGCTTTTTTTTTGGCAAGGAAGGTGCTTTGCTAATAGGTGTGGACCTGCGTGGGATCGATGGATGTGAAGAAGAAAAGGGGTTACCTTTTAAATGCGTGTATATAGCATGAGTTTATTTTTTCAACACAGTATAGAAGCAAGCGCTCATATATACGCGCATACACTCATCTATATGAACATACACATGCACACCTTATCCTATGAGCATCTTCGAGACACTGAACCGGCATATCATCTTGAGATTTTATAGTCACCGTAGGCGCCTCTTAATTGACGGGAACGTTCCTGAAGTAAATTCAAGATAAATGTGAATATCAGGACTTAAACCCTGGTGGGCTGAAAATACCACTGTTCATCTAACCATCCAACCACATGTTGGTTGCGTGTATAGAGTAGGAGTTAGCATGTGAATCTAAGCTACTACCCACCTCCCGCTAAAAAAAGAAGCTACTACCAACCTCACCGCATTACATTGTTGTCCGATGCATAAATAAAATAAACTGATCTCATGATAAGAGCTCTCGTAGATATTCATTAGTACTTCAATCTTCTTTGTGTTCTGTATATTCCGGATGAATACCCCTTTTGATATAGTATGAATTTGATTCAAATTGCAATCTTTTAAATATTTCAAGCTGCATGCAATCTCCAAGCAGAAATTTAGTTATCTAATATGCAAATAGTACGTACATGTATGAATTGAACATTAGAAATTGCAAAAAATACGTCCATTTTGCTCTGCTTTGTGTCAGTATCAACACCTCTCTAGAAAAGATCACTAGTGCAGAACCGGGCTGTATTACCGGTTCGTAAGGCCCTTTAGTGCCGGTTCTGTAACCGGCACTAAAGGGTAGAGACTAAAGCCCCCCCCCCAGTACCGGTTCAGCACGAACCGTCATTGAAGGGCCACCACGTGGCACAAGTCAGCGTCGGGGACGAGGAGACCTTTAGTACCGGTTGGTAACACCAATCGGTACTAAAGATTTTTTTTTTAAATAAAGCAAAAACAACCCACGTACTGGGCCGGCACGGCCTGCATACGACTAGAATCCCAACCTCTAGTTGGGTCAGGATGCAGGCCCGTATGGCCCAGTAGGCCCCACAGGGTAGAATACTTGTAATAGGACCACAAAGGCCTTCTTAGAGAGGAGCTCGACACAGTAGCCATGGTAGGGCTTATAAACTGGAGCGAGCTCATCTCAACTAGCGAGGTGGGACTAAATATTGTGCACTGCGGGTGGGAGCGCACCTCTTTAGTACCGGTTGGTGGCACGGACCCGTACTAGGGGAGGGGGGGTCTTTAGTACTGCTTGGAGCCACCAACCCGTACTAAAGGTCATCACCTCTTTAATACCGGTTCATGGTACGAACCGGTACTAAATGTTCGCCAGGAACCGGTACTAACGAGCGCCGTCCGCCTAGCCGTTGAAACCGGCACTAATGGTCATATTAGTGCGGGTTCAATTACAAACCGGGACTAATAAGCTTTACATTAGGCTCTTTTTCTACTAGTGGAGATAGCAAAAGTCAACTTTTATACTACTGACGAAACTTCATTAGGATACAATGACTCATGACTACCATGTACTATCTCTGTATCGAAATACTTGTTGGGGAAAACCAGCGCGAGTTCCCCTAACCATAAATATTGTGGTATAGAGGGAGTATGGTCCTAGAAAGCCAGCCAAACAACATTTTAGCTAAGGTTTTATCACTAGGACGAAATGAAATCGCTCACTCTTGTTAAGAATAAAGGTAGATTTGCCTCCAGCCTTTCTTTAGCACTTCTTCCCTGCTGCCGTCGCTGTCTATTATGATGGCGGCTCCCTATCTTCTCACTCTCACTGCGATCATTCTCGACGACGCTTCCTACATCAAGAGTTGTGCGGGTTCTTGCCACAAAGGTGATGTCGTGTGGCTAAAAGTACCGCACGTACGCAGTACGTGGTGTGGTGGTGGCACGGATCCGCTCGAGCTGCCACCTCCAGGACGTGTCACTAGTAGAAAACAGGGCTTTCGTTCTCTAGACGGAAAGGATCAATAGTCCCGGTCGCGTTATGATTCGGAACTAATGAGCATTAGTTCCGGTTCGAGCGGCTAGGATGTCGGACGGGGCTCGGCTAGCTTTAGTCCCGAGTTAAACGCAACCTTTAGTCCCGGTTGAAGACACCAACCGGGACTAAAGGGGTTTTGAAAGTTTCTTTTCCATTTTTCCATTTGTGTTCTGCTTTTAGTTTCTATTTTGAATTGCTTATATCTTTTAGGATATTTGATATTTTTGAGTGATTCATTTTTGAATCAGAGTCAAAATTTTGTCTAGTTTCTTTGTATCATTAGTTTTCAAATTTGAATGGTTTAAATTTGAATTTATTCAAATTTGCTTAAAACCCTAGATTGTGAATAACTTGAGTTTAAAATAGTTTTTAATTTAATGTTTTTTGCTCCTAGTCACATGTTAGATTGTTGTCACACTAAGATTTATTTGATTACTTTTAGAATAATTTAAATTAGGATTTTAATTAAAATAACACTGTTTTGCTTATATAGTTGTTTTAGTCATTTAATTGTTGTTTTTAATTATTTTAACATGTTGTAGTATGCTTCTGTTATACAATAGTAGATAATATTTTATAATTAATTAATATTAATTTTGCTCCTGTTTTGTATTAATAGTTAGACATCACAAAGAAGCAATTGATTCCAGCATATGAGAAATAAATTTAA